TGGTGTATGTCAAGGTTCTTTACATGGTATTAGAGCCTCACCGTCCCCCACTTTAAAGTGGAATTAAATAAAAAAAAAAGCACAAATGGTAAACCAAAAATTGGGCCTGCGCAATTTCTACGCTTCTAGCCTAAAGGGCTCTTGCGTGAGAGGACGTGTTGAGATATATAGTCCCACATTGATTGTGTGAGCAAATAATGTGGCCTTTATAAGGCATTGGACACTCTCACTCTTTGAACTAACTTTTGGATAGTATATCTCAAGGTTCTTTACACTAAACAACTGTCATACAGGAACACAGTTTAAAATTTACAAAAAAAAAAAAAAAAAAAAGAACACAGTTTAAAATATGGACGTGCATATGCTTCACTAAAAATAACTGAAGGTCAGGCATGTCTTTAACTTCTCTTACTTGTATCTTCCTTTCACGTAGTCTGACTGACAGGTATGACGGTGGTTTACGTGGATGAGGAAATGATCTTGTATATATCCATCTCACGTACATCTTCCATTCAAAAATTGACACGTGGGTTAGAAAAGTATTTTATTTTGTCCTCCGTACGAAAATCACAACTAATGCTCTATTTTTATTTGTTGGTCGCACCAAATGCTATATGCAACAGATGTACAATAGATATTTCGGTGGGTGAGGTGTTAGAGAAAAAAATCTGCGATATAATGAGAGTAGATATATCTTTATCAAAAAAGAAAAAAAAATAGGGATATAGAAATAAATAATTATAAAGATAAGAACAGAGTAATGTATTATTATTTTTTCATATTTAATAAAAAAAGAATATCCAGTGGTCAGTACATTTGTAATATTGGAGATATTTTTTATGTTGGGCTATTGACACTAGGGTTTGTATCAGGCAGTGTTATCAGACCCAGCTCGAATCGACTAGGTCGATCTGAAATCTGACGAATCGATTATTAGACCAGTTTGAGTCAAATATTGAATCGGCCACGTATCGGACTCGGTAAAAATCGATTCGAATCAGTCGGATTTTATCAAAATCGACAACTCGGCTGGGAATGAAAACAGGCGCATCATGCATTTTTATAAATGAAAAAAAAAAAACTAAAGTTATCTCATTTTGTCTGAAAATAGTGTGGAACTCCTTTAAAAAAAATTTGTAATTTTGCTTGCTAGTAGTATACTGTTCTACAATAACCTCAAATTTCAATTTACAAAACTGAAGCAATTTGCGAAACAGTAAATTAAGAGAAGATTATATATTGATTCCTTACAAATCCATTTTTACAGCAAGAGTTGTTGGTAAATACCTTATAATTATTAAATATGGTTAATTGAGGATACTTGATAGAGAAATTATATGTGATTACCTGGTACTTGAATTTTCTTTTCTTTTTTATTTATTCTTTTACAATATATTGTATATGATTATCATATATAACTTTTTTATCCCTACAAAAATTATATATGCTTATAACCCAGCATAATAATTTTTTATATGTTTGAAAATTTTCTAGATTTTAATATTAAAATATAAGATTTTATATAAAAATTCAAGATTCAGTAATCTAATGTTTCGGCCAAATCAATGACCGAATCGATTATAATAAGATTGAACTATCATGTATCTCTGGTTAAGTTCTAATCTCAATGACATTCTTTCAAATAAAATTAAAAATATATTAAAATTACGGATTATATTGATTTTATATTGCAGGAAAATGATTGTTTCATATTATAAAAATAGAATTACAATTGGGACGAGAAGAGAAAAAAATTGATACGGAATCCACCTCCATTTTATATGTGTAAGAAACTTGTTTATCTTATGTAACATAATACCTAAAATTAAAATAGAGCTAAGTCATTAATTTTGGATTCTCGGTCGCTCTTCTTGGGATGAGAACCACTTTTTTCACTGTGATTCTGGTTCTCAATGATTTGTCGTTTTTCCGATTTGATTGATGGGACACAAAGCCAAGTCATCAATTTTGGATTGCTAGTTCTACATTATTAAATTGAATTAATTAAGTTAGATGAGCGACGAAACGTCAAATTTTGACATTTTAAACGTTTAAGAAATACGATCGCTGACGGCAAAAGAGTCTCGTTTTCCACATGTCATGCAAGTAGGGAAAAATACTTGGGGTGTTTAGTATAAATTTTTTGGTTGAAATACTCGGAAAGTGAAATGATTTTTTTTCTCTCCATATTTGGTATAAGTAAAGATAAAAATAATCTCAAAATATTTTTGTTCCTATTATTTTATTTTTAACTACACATTCTCAAAAAAATAATATTATCTCACTCATGGTATTGTTTTTTTTTCCACCCTAAGAAATGTATAACAATATTTTGATACGAAAATACCCAAGTAAAATAAACGTTTGATTACTAACAAGAGATTCAATATTCAAAATAATGAATAATTTTTTTATTTCAATTCAGATTCCCATCAATATTTTACAATTAAACAAATATAGCATTAGTAAAATTAACCCAATATTTCAAGAAAAAATTGACCTACCAAATACATTTTCGTAACTTATTCCAAAAAAAAAAAAATTCAATCATATTTTTAGAAAAAAAATCTCCTTTACCAAATACCCTAGCCGTAAAGAAAACTCATTTCTTTATCTGTCATGACCTGTATCACGTGCATAAACCATTGGGGCTGCATGAGAAGATACACGAGTGCCAAGCACACGAGTGAAAACTTGAGACTTCTGTATTAACGCCCGCAATAACTTAAAGTATTGAGATACATACTAGTTCACCTGTCGTACAAGTAATAAAGTGATAAAGTAAGGTTGTTGACCCACTAGAACTAATTACCAAGCAATAACTTATTTACGCGATTAAAGTTGAATCGATCTTTAAATTGGAATTGTTGAGAATATTAATTTAATTTGTAAAACAGAATTCTTAAAGAAGTTATTTTAAATTTTTAAATATTCAGAATTCAAGAATTAATAATGCAAAGAAATCAGTTTTTAACTTTTAATAAATAAAAGACGTAGATAGGAACTCGACTTCCCTAATATTTTCTAAATGAGTTCAACTTTCATGCAATTAAAGTTCGCAATCAATTATTGACAATTCTTTCTAATGTAATTGACTCTCAATCCTTTGGTGGTTTCAGTTCTTTACTTTATTCCAAGGCTCTAATCCCTTAGGTGGTGTTTGGTTGCGTTCTTTTTCAAACTTTCCTATGCATCCGAAGGAAGCATTCCGGAAAGCACTCGTTTGGTTCCATAGATTTAGTCTAAATCCCCACCAATCCTAATTGCATTGCATTTTGAATATGCAAGTGGAATGATGGTGTTTGGCACTGTTCAAAAATAATTCTTGGAGGTGGTTTTTTTAGAAAACCGGCAAAGGCACTGTGTAGACAATATCTCAAACAACCATTATACCCTTCAAAGACACAGATTTTTTCTTGTTTTGAAGGTAAAGGGTAGGATGTTTGTTTAAAAAAAAATTTAAAACAAGGGTATTTTCGTAATAGCATCATTTTTTCCCATCTATATTTTACCTACAGCCAAACATAGACTTCATAAATGTTACCTAATTTCCCTAGTAATATGTTTTTCAACCAAACAACTTTTTTTACATTTTTCTACCAAACTCATTTTCCAACCATTTTCCCACTATTCTTATTTCCCTATTATTCATAAAAAATTTCCCTCAACAAAACGCCCCCTTAGGGTGTGTTTGGTTGGAGGTTTTTGAGGAGATTGATAGGCAAATGTGAAATGGGGAAATTAGGTGCCCATGTTTGGTTGAGAGAGGTTCCAAATTTATCTACCTAAATGAGTATGCTAGCAAATCACTTTGTCTATCATTTTGGGAAGAGATTGCTGGCCAAAAAAACCCTTTTCATATGTGGTATTTGCGGTTAGCTATGTATTTGGTTTAGTGGGTGTAATAAGTATTTGCGGTTAGCTATGTATTTGGTTTAGTGGGTGTAATAAGCAAAAGACTAACTTACCCTCTGTTACGAGCGTACTTCAATGTTTTAATATTTTAATATTGTAATGTTGCCATCTACTTTTGATTCTTATAAAAGAAAAATAATTTATTATTATTTTAGCAAACATCATCTTTTGTTTCTGTCCATGCATTACTATCTGTGATTCATCTTTTTTTTTTCTTTTTTCCTTTTTTTATAAAGAAAAAAACAAACACAATTTGAATACCTTAGCTATTCGTTTTAATTCACGGCCGTTTTTATAACTGATTCATTTTTGAAAAACAAGGTTATTTTCGTAATAGCACATTTTTTTCCCATCTATATTTTACCAAAAGCCAAACATAGACTTTACAAAAGTTACATAATTTTTCCGTTAAAATTTTTTCCAACCAAACAACTATTTTTACATTTTCTTACCAAACTCACTTCCCAACCATTTTCCTACTAATCACATTTTCCTATGATTCATAAAAATTTCTCCTCAACCAAACGCCCCCTTAGGGTCATTTTCTAAAGCAAGCTTAAAGGTAAAGAATTATGCATCATGAAATTCGTAAGACTATCCTTAGAACATACAAATTCCAGCAATTAACCAATCGGATTCAAGCATACAATATCCCTATTAGCATGCAAAAATCTACTCTCATTCAAGATTGATCAGGTTAAGAACAAGACTATCAATATAAAGCAGATTAATTGCATAATTAACACACGAATAATAATTGCATCAAAGATAGAACAACGTTTAAGAACCCATTGATTCCATCTCTCCCTAACTACATAAAGAAAACTAGCCTAACATGTTCAAGAAGACATGCTATTGCTGACAAGTGACAATCAATGTCGTGAAAATCAGACCGGACCGGCTGAATCAACCCGGAACCTGATGAACCGGTCATCTGACCGGTTCGATTATCACATTGTATCGACCAAGTATTAGACCCGGTACGACCCAGCCGGTTTTGGTGATTAATGCTTATACATACAGCTGCAGACCTGAATAACAGGCCCATGCTTTCCTTGTCTAGCATACGAATTAACTAAAACAAAATGAACGAGTTTGAGAATGGTGTTTCAATGCCAGTGAGTCCTATGGCGGATTACTTCAGCAGCTCTGTGATGAGTGTATTCATTCTTGGTGTTCTGGAATCTGAGATTCCAATAGATGACTCAAGAGCCGAGCCACTGCTTAAGGACATTTTCCTTCCCATCAACACACGTTTCTCTTCTATCTTGGTAAAATCTAAATAGAAGCGTAGTAAATCTTTCTATTTTGTGCTTGTTCTATAATCATATCATCATGCATGAAAATCAAACTAAAAGCTATGATTCTTTTGAATTATTGGTTCCAAGCATGATATTCTCACGCATTAATGAATTATATATATACATGCAATGACTTTGAACAGATGGTGGACGAAAAAGGAAAGAAACGATGGAAGGAAGTAGACGTGTGTCTCAAGGAACACATCAAAATTCCCATATTTCCAACCACCAATATGCCACACAAATTATATGACGACAATCTTAACGAATATATGTCAGACATAGCTATGGAACAGTTACCACTTGAAAAACCACTTTGGGAAATGCATATATTTAAGTATCCAACAAGCAGTGCTGCTGGTACTTTTATATTTAAGCTTCATCATGCACTCGGAGATGGTTACTCTCTCATGACAACTCTGCTTTCATGTGTTCAAAGAGCTGACAATCCTTCTATTCCCATAAATTTTCCTTCAAGTCGAAGTTCAGTGGAATCAAAATTCAATATCAAAACCATGCTGAAGAAATCACCTCAAACTGTCTCTAATGTATTTAAGAGTGTATTTGATTTTGGATGGAGTGTATTAAAAGCTAGCTTGATTGCCGACGATAAAACACCAATAAGGTCAGGGCATAATGATGTGGGGTTTCGACCTATTACTATCTCAAATGTCTCACTCTCTCTCGATAGCATCAAAGAAGTGAAAAATAAGCTTAAAGTGGTATGTTTGGGGTGTTTTCATCAATGCAAAATTACAAACCCGTTTTTACTATTTTTATTTTTTGGGTAAAATATTTATGATCTTAAAAGACATAACTTTTGACATTTTAAGTTAAACAATCATATTTTTGTACGTGATTATTGTTTTTTTACATTTTCTCTCCTCTTAATTTATGGAGGAGAGAGTGTGTAAAACACTATCAAATATGCATCAAAAGTCAAAACATGGTTGTTTAAGTTAAAATGACACGAAATTGTATTATTTAAAATGACAAATATTTTTTCTTTATATTTGGAAAAAAAAATTATGTAATTAATTTTGCCTATTTTCTCTAATTGTAGAGCATAAATGATGCATTGGTTGGCATAATTTTCCTTGGGATTCAGTTATACATGGAAACAATGAATCATAAATTAAGCAAAGCTGAGACTACAGCATTGGTGCTGCTCAATACAAGAAAACTTAGAGCTTATAAACCAGTGAAGGAGATGCTTGATGCCAATTCTGAGGCTCCTTGGGGGAATCGATTCCACTTCATGCATGTTCCGATTCCCAAATTAAATGATGCCAGTTCTTTGAACCCACTTGAATTTGTGTTGGAAGCCAGCAAAAAAATCAAGAGGAAGAGAAATTCATTGGCAGTGCCAGGGACTGGTATGCTTTTGGCCTTGGTGAACCGAATCAAAGGCTCAGAGGTATATAATACAGGCTTTGAGTTTTACTTTTCTGTAATTAATTTTTACCAACTAATAATTTTAGAGTAGATTAAATCACATTGTTGATTGACATTTAAAAAGAAAAATAATAAAGAAAATACAATATAGTACGTACATAAAATTCGTCGTTGTTTAATAACAATATTAATTACTTGGTGTTGCAGGCTGCTGCAAGATACGTATACAAGATATTGAACAATTCAAGTTTAAGCATCTCACACATGGTTGGGCCATTGGAACAAGTGGCATTGTTCAATCATCCCATCAAAGGCTTTTACTTTATGACTGTTGGTTTATCTCAGGTGTGTGTAGATCTCATTCTTATTGTTCATCCGAGTGAGAAGAACTAGTGTCCTTTCGGGGAGAAAAATGGTATCTGGGAGCGCAGTATCAATGTATTCTCTGTGTGTGTGAGAGAGAGATTTCCATTTATAAGTGAAAAAATCATCTTTAATTTTTTTTTTTTATAAAATTTTAATATAAAATAAAAAGTATGAAATTTGTATACTTTTAAAAATTGAACTAGAATATTTAGATAAACAAAAAAAATTTATAACTTTTTTAGTGAATACTGTATATCTCTAACTATTTTTAATTTAATTATTTTGCAGTGTAGGTTGTGTCATTTTAAAAGATTAATATCTCATCCTCGTAAGAAGAGATTTTTGTTCAAGTTTTGTAAGTGTAGGATAAATTTTCTATATACATATTATTTAAAATTTGGGCTTGCAATTTCTCATGTTGAATGAGAAATTAAAGTTTTCCTACAGATAGAGAAAGGGATGAGGCCCATCTTAAAGAAAAAAATAAAAAATAGAAAACTGATTGGCCAAACATCGAAGTGAGAGAGGATACTTCTCATGCAACGTGAGAAGTCTTTTTCCATTAAAATTTTGATGATCATGTGAAAATTTTATTTTATATTTCATAAATACTAATTAAATGAGTTTCGAACAAAGTTTGTGAATATTTATAAAAAGAGAGGGATAGATATGAAGTTTTGATATTATAAGGTCATATAAAATTTTAACAAGAAAAAATACAAGTAAGCAATATAAATTAACTTGATTAATAATTTTTATTTTATATTTGGTTAGGATTATTTTAAGCCACTATAAGTTACACTCTCAATCTTGATCGTTGATCATATTTTATCTAAAGATTCTGATTTATTAAATATGTGAGTCTTTAGATGCAAGTAAATCAATTTTTTAGATTCGGAGTAAAACTTCTTATTTTTATTCTAGTGTGATAATAACCTTCCCTTTTTATATGAAGTAATTTATAACATAAATTATTGTGTTTATATATTTTAAGAGTTTAATGTTTATCACATTATCTTCAATAAATTCAAAACGACGACGTTTTGGGTTGAGAGAAAAAAATTATAATGATAAAAATTAATATAACCTATAATAAATTAGAATTACAAAATATATTTTTTCCAATCTCAAAATGATATTTTGGACTCACTGAATATAAGTTATCTCTCACCGGATGACCGGAAAAACATTAAACCTTTATTTTAATTTACTTAACTTGTATACAAGTTCTTACCTGCAAGAGAGAGCTGCCAGTTTTCCTTTCCAAGTTTTTAGGGTATAACACTGATGCAGCATAGAAATGTATTTATCCCTCATTTTGCTATTCTTATCCATGTTCCACATTGTTTATAACATTATACTGTTATATAAGGTTCTCTAAAATCTATTACCCATATACTAAAATAGCAAAACATTTTTTTAACGGATTTACAGAGTATCACGGTGACCATAACAAGTTACATGGGATATTTACGAGTTGGATTTGGAGTGGAGAAAGGCTTCATAGATGAACACCAATTCAAGTCATGTTTCGAAACTGCCCTGGAGATGATGCTGAAAGCAGCAAGGAATATTGCTACCGAAACTAAGCAATAGATCAAAGGATAAAAACTAGAACCTCCTACTTCAATGTTGTCGCATTTTTAGTTTGAAATGTTTTATAGCTTATAGTAATTATAGGTGTGAACTGTTCTAGTAAATTTGAAGATACTACTTGAAAAGCAATTGGGGGACTTCTATACAGTTATAGTAAGGTAAAATGGTATTTGTATTATATGTGCAAGAACGATGAGTAGAATCCATGTGGGAGAGTATTGCTTGGCCTCGGTTAGTTAGAGGCATGTAATAGTTTTTTCATTCCTTCGTATACAAAAAAAAATAAAAATCCATGTGGGAGATGATGATGACGATAATAATAATAATAATAATTTTATCACTAACTTGACTCTATACATATTTCTTGTTATAAAACTGAAAGATAAAGGGAAAAAATATAGTAAAGATAAGAAATAAAATTAGGACAAGATAGAAATAATATATGGGAAAAATATTTATGTAGTTACTGCAGAGAAATTATCTATATTTATTTTCAAAACAACGTCATTTTGAGATTGAAAAATTAAATAATTATAATTATAAAGACTATAATAACCCTGAAATAAATTAAAATTATAAAAATACTATGATTAAAACGACGTCGTATGAGACTTATGTCGTATTACAAAAATACTATGATTTTCGCCCAAAAGCGAACCCATAATATATCTATTGAATTGTATTCTTGTCTTTATACAAATTTTGTACATGAGTTCTGTTTATAGAGTCTCAACTATTATGAGTTAAAGTGGAACGAATGAAAAAATGTAATACTTCTGGTATTAATTAACTTATAGAAGTTATAGAATTTGTTCTCATAAATCCTTAAAAGTTATACATTTTTTTTTGGAGGTTATGGACACCCACATCAATATTGTTTATAGAAATTCTAGAGTTTCTCACCATTAAGAATTCATTTGGTTTTGATATTGATAGAATTATTTTCAAAATAAATGTTATTAAAGAAATTAATATTACAAGAATTAATTTGTATCTGAGAATTATATTTTAAAAGTTAATTTAAAATAAATAACTTTATTTTAAGAAAAAATTAAATTACTTTAAAAAATAATTACAATTTTTTTTAAAAAAAATTTGTGAGTAATTTTTTTGAAAACAAAAACTAAAAGGACCTATATTTCTTTCTGAAAATCATCTTTCCAAACCACAGTTTGATTATACAATTTTTTGCAGCCGGAACATATTGTTTTGGTGGACTTGTGCTGTAAAGGGCATGTCTGTTTGAGTTGCTAACCAAACAGGCCCAAAACGAACAAGGCCTTGTTATTTTTACCAGCCCCTGAAAATTGCTTTAAGGAGTTTTAAAGATAATTTATATTTTGTCCCTTTAGGCTTCGGACAACAATGGGGAACAGTCACCAAAATGTCACTGTTCACCAACTTTTTTATCTAAATGTCACGCGAACAGTATTATTTTCCAATCTGTCACGGGGACAAGTTCGCTATCCGGTGTAGCGAACTCGATTTGCTGACGTGTCACATTTTTAGTCGATACAGAGTTCGCTACACGGGGTAACGAACTTCATATCTTTTTTTTACTTGATACTTGTTAACCACTAGAAATGTGACACGTCAGCAAATCGAGTTCGCTACAGCGGTTAGCGAACTTGCTCCCCTGACAGATTGGAAAATAACACTGTTTGTGTGGCATTTAGGTAAAAAAGTTGGTGAAAAGTAATATTTTGGTCAGTGTCCCCAACAATTGGTATATATATAAAAAAAAATAAGTTTATATTATTTTTTTCCATATCTATTATTCTTCACATTATTAAATTACGATCTCAAGAAACTCTTTTTTTCTCCCACCACCTTTACTATTGGTTAATATTGTAATCAAATGGTGTGAAGATAAATAAATAAAATAGGCTTGAAAAAAAGATAAATCTAATATCCTATGACTCTAAATGATTCTTTTTTTTTTTTTTGATTTTGGAAAAACGGCATCATTTCAATTTAATTGACTGAATTAGACATGTCAACTTACTTCATAACGTGACAAAATTACCTTTGAAAATTAATATTATTAAACTCAAATAGATAAAAAGATAAAAAAAAATTAAGAATTTTTAAGTTTTCAAAATTAAACTGATAAAATATATGTTTATGGGAATAAATTGATAAGACATGTTTCTTTAAGGTGACACACGCACAAACTTATATTAATTATGCAGAAGCTTCACAGGTAATTCTCTACCTCTAGTCTTCTCTGTATTACTGGTCGGCATTAATCATCATAGACTCATAGTTATATTGGACTGACTTAAAATTCCAATCACAGTTATGGACTGCTTTTTTTTTCAGAAGCCTGATCACATTCTTACATATAAAATGGAGAATTTATATAGATTACAAAAGCATAAGGAAAATATTATAAGATATTAAAGGCATAGACAGTGTCCATTAACATCATATACCTACCTCCCCCCATCACACAAATTTTTCAATTTTGAAATAGATTAATATGCTTCACCCATTCGATGGTGCTTCTCTGTCATCTTTGTTTCCAAACAGTATATTATTTGGTTTAATTGTCACTACCCAGTCATGGTGCCACATGGCACATGCTATCCCTTTTCTTCTGTTTTCCAAAGAGTCATCACAGAAAAGCTAGGACAAGTAGAAAATATTTGTCAAAGATAGAACCTTTAAGAATCTATTAGTACTAATCGAAGGACAAGAAATTAGAAGTCTATTGGGATTCTGAATTAGTACTAATCGAAGTTAAGAATCTAAACAAATTAAAGACAAAAGACAACTGGTAGTTTAAGTATTAGGTCAACGAACTTTCAAAATCTGACGCCAATTATAGTTAATTATCACCTAAAATTTTTAAACTTGAGGAACTTGCGAAAAGATGCAGTTGATGACAACTTATGGCCAATGGTGGGATTATACTAATAATATATATTATATCATATATAATATAAATAAAATAAAGTAAAATAAAAATTATACATACCCAATATCTACCCCTACTGCATTTACTTTTAACTCTCCGAGTTTTGCTTTAACACACGCTTTTATATTATATGCATTGATTTTGGTATAATTCTGGATTTGCAAGTTTGGTAGCTTTACAATTTGATTTAAGCACAAATTTTATATGTTGCATAGTTTTTATATGATAATAATGTTGGGTATGATTCATACTTCGCATGCTGATGAGGGCTCTTGTTGTCGGGATCAGCAGAAAGGCGAAAGGCAGCGTTCCCAGGCCCGTAGAAAATATGTATTATTGTGGGCCTCTGATTTATTATAGTTTTCTTAGCAGTTTGGACTTGAGTCCATAAATAACTGCAGTTAGAATTTTTTAATTCTATTTATATTTTGCTTGTAAACCGAATGACTTGTAACGAGTGGCGGTGAGGTGAATATAGTACATAGTCTATATTGCATGAATGAGAATAAATCATCATGTCAATCTCTCTATTCTTCTCTTTTTTCCATTTTCTCGATTTTGTGTGATTCTCACTTGTTATAATATGAATTACTTATTCATTTAACTATAAGTCTAGCTTCCATATCAAAGATTGACATTACTCTCAAAATCAGTTACAAACTACATGCCTCGTTTACAAAAGAATTGGTAAACCGTTGTTTACCATAGGATCTAGAAGCCCACAAGTCTCAGAACCAATTTCAAAATCCCACAATTCAGTCTCTGTTTCCACATCACTGACTGATCCGGTCACAAGCCTTTTCAATCTCTCACTTACTTTGGTTGCTCCGAATTGAAAGAAAGATTGCCGAATCTACATAAAGTAAACAAAAAAAATGCAAGACGGTTATAAATTTCTTAATAGTATATAGGGAAAGGTTATATTTATAAATTTTTTGTTTACAAATTATACTATGTCTGACCAGTCATACTACAATAGTGTATGACTAGTGAAACTTAGTATAGTTTGTAAGTTTATAAAAAAAAAAGTTTGTCGATATAATCCTCTTCCAGTAAATATCAAAGGGCTAATTGATTTTCTTTGCAAAACAGAGTGAAGAATACATACCTTGGCGTGCACAACATGAAGAACAGAATTTCCAGCCAGTGAAGAATTGGCACTGATGACTTCGATGTTCTCTTCATGCAAAATTCGAATAATTTCTTTGAAAATGAACTGTTTATCAAACTCACAATCCAGAATAACTTCTAGCGAGGAACCCATTTCATGAATCTCGAGTTTTGGTGAATTTAAGGTTCCACAACGAGGTCTCTTCCTCCCCATTAAGATTTCTTTCTTTTCTTGCGCCATCTTCTTCACCTTTGTCTCTAGGCTCTTAATATAGTTAATAGCCTCATCTATTTGATCAGGCAGTGGCAATGCTTCCTGCAGTAAATGAAAATTTTCAATCAAATCAATCTATCATTTTGAATAAATATGTAAAGCAACTATCTTACATAACAGTTCAAGTTGTTGAGTCATGGATATTCAATTTTATATTATATCTTTTTAATATATCTCCTCACGTAAAATTTATTTAGATTTGAAGTATGTATATTATACAGATCCAATTTTTTAGTTCTATCTTGTGCTGACTTAATTTTACTAAAAAATGGGAGTGATGAATATTAAATTCATAAACCTATACGGATCTTCAATAATTTTTATATTATATTTTTCTTAGAAAGTCAATGCAATGCATATGTAGAGAGATGGAGAACATACCTGAGAATGATAGTTAGGGAGAAGAGAGTTGAGTTTGGAATATAAATTCTTCATCTGGTTTCTCCGGTTTTTCTCTATGACCCTTCTTTGTATTTTGGTTGAGGAAGAAGGTTGATTTCCGTGTTGATGATCCATGGATTGTCCTGAACTTCTTAGATTCGCTTACGACCAACTTGAATAGGATTTAGGATTTTGAGTTAATGGTTTGGAGAATTGTATATTTATATATACGCAGTACATAATATGATTTAGTGAGAGATAGATCACTCATACATACTCACATAAAAATGTGGTAAGTAAGATGATGCTACATAAAAGCAAGTGTGAAAGTGAGATCAGAATGAAAACGTCACTTTGGAGATATCATCACCTTGCATATGCATGATTTGAGACTCGTGCGGCAATGTGGTCTGTCTTTACATATGGAAGTGTTTATTTTCGTCACTTTGCTCCTTTGTCCTTTTAAAACCTATGAGTGCATAATTTCAACGGCATAATCATGTTTTTTTTCCCCCTAAGGATGTGAAATTATTGAATCTGAGCCGCCTTAAAAGCTAAAGTCTTAACTTTTTCATCAAATTGGAATCGAAAACTTCATATGAATTCTTTTTGGTAAAAGGAACATTAAAAGATACATTTTTCTGTCAGTTGGTCCAAGCTTCACTAGAATAATTCAAAGATTCAAATCTTTGGGACAAACAAACAAGGCTGATCCCTCTGTCAATTGGTCCAAGCCTCACAAAAATAATTCAAAGATTCAAATCTTTTGGACAAACAATCTGTGTGAGAGAGGTTTTACAGTAGTAGTGGAAGTGTAAAAGTAAGGAGAATTTCTAATATATTCTTTCGGAAGAATATTGTGAGAACCAAGTTGTGTTACTACCAAGTGACTATCAATCAATCTCACTGTTAGATCGATTATATTGATCCAACGGTTATATTTATTTCCATCTTTGTATGATCATGATTCCCCATATTTAAAGTGAAAGCATTAAATATGAGAAATTATAATCATACAAAGGTGAAAATAAATATAAAGTATTAAATATGGAGAATCATGACCATACAAAGATGGAAATAAATATAACCGTTGGATCCATATAATCGATCTAACGGTAAGATTGATTGGTAGTCACTTGGTAGTAACACAACTTGGTTGTCACAATATCCTTCTCTTATATTCTTAGAGTATTATTTGAAAAAAACTTATAACCGTTTATATTTAATTTAATTATATTCTGTTCTAAATTTATAAATTGTAAAAATCTAAAATCCTAGCTAAAGGTAAACTTTCAAACAATAGATTTATTTTGTTATAAGTTGTTGTTCAAGGGGAAATATAGAAACCGAGAAGTGAATATTAATATTTCTTTTATTAAAATATCTGATATTGATTGGTTGTATTATATATAAATCGGGGAAAATGTGTATCATTTTGAAGGATACAAAGTTGTTTCATTTTAAGTGAGAGAAAGAGATAAATCATGGAAGAGAAAATGGATGAAAAAGTTTTAAAGGTGCGAGTCTCACCTCTTTATAAGAGTGAAATGATATAAGGTGTATCATTTAAAATGATACACCTTTTTCCCATATAAATTTATATTTTGAACCAAAAATCATATAAATTTCTATTTAAAAACTCTATAAGGAAAGATGATTAGGAAAATAAAGCGCTACAAATTATTGTTTTTGCAGTATGTGGCAATTCAGGAGAGGAGGGTACATGGTGTTTTGCTAAATTGGTGAAATGAAAGATTGAGATTTTTCTGCTTTCTCTTGTAGCTTCCTGAAAAGTGAAAAGACAGCATGATAGATACAACATAGCAAGCGGTTCTTAAAATTTTGTTTATTTTGGTTTATTTAGTTTGATGGGATCACTTTCTCATTTAGGTATTATTGTAAAATTCAGTCCGACTCAGTCAGGTTGACTCAAAATTTGATAAATCAATCATTGAATCGGTTCGGGTCAAACATTGAACCGTTCATGTATTGATTCGGTCAAAATTCGGTCAAACCCGATTAAACCGGTAATCTGGTCGTATCATACATTTTTTTTCTTAAAAAAAAATCAGAATTATTTCATTTTGTCATAAAAAAATGTAGCACTCGTTTTAAAAAAAATTTGTAATCTTATTTGCTAGTATACTCTTTTACAATGATCTCAAATTTTAGTTTCTAATAGTAAAGTAATTTGTGAAATAATAAATTAAGAGAACATGACATATGTCATTTCAATGTAGATAAATTTGAAAAATATGAATTCAATGTCATTGAGATGTATGTTTATGAGGATTCTGAGTTGTAATTTAAATTGACATAATAATAGCATGTATTTTTGTTTATTTATATTTTATATTTTTAAACTTATTTAGTGAATATTGTTTAATTCATTTTAGATATAGAGAATATTATTAAATTTATATATTTATGTTTATATATATTTTTATATATCTATGTATATCTATATTTTTAATAATAATGAATTGACGGCTACAAGTAAAAGGTGAGAACAAAGAACCATGATGCAATTTTCTCTGTATTAATTGCGGCTTCTTTTTCATTGACTTTGACTTTCGTCGTTTTCTTCTTGTGAACGCGACAACTGCACAGCGCAACACTTGAATAGTCGGCCGTCACACCAATTACGATTAATTACTCCTTTCCTCGAAATTGCTCAGCCAGCATAATAGGTAAAGTCGAGATAAAATATAATGGGAGAGTATTTATCTTTTTAAATGACATAATTTATATCATTTTTTTATTAAGAAGTGGGATTCATATCTTTATTTTATTGTCAACTCTTTCTTTTTTTTTATTTATCTATTTCTCTATTTTAAAATGATACAATTTTACATCTTTTAAATGATACACTATTTTCCCAAAATCTAAATACATCATGTACTGATGTAAAACCCTTTTAAAATAAGTAAATATACATAAACATGTTTTAAATTATTTGATAAGTTAAAATTATGATAATTTTTATTAAATTAAAATATATTTTTTAATTTACTCGCTCAAGGATAAAAAAAATTTAAACATATATATATATATATATATACATGTTTCGCTTAATTTTAAATTCAATGTTTACAATTTTTCAAAATAAAAATTGAAAATTCTTTCAATTATTATCATCCTTTCTACTCTTTAGAAGTTTTTTTTTTTTTAATATACTCTTTAGAAGTTTTAGTGCTTGTATTTGACAGCTCTATATTGTTATTGGAATGTAAGAACATATATAAAATAAAGTATTTTTTAGGTCCTCAAAAAAATTATGAGAGTCATTTTAATCTTTTAGAAAAAATCGACTTGTGATTTATCTAAAATTTAAAATAGATTCAATTATTCAAAATTGTGATCACTCTAAAATTCAAAGAAGACCCACGCTGGTCCCTTAAAAGGACTAACATGAGTCTATTTTGAATTTCAGAGGGACCGCGAATCGATTTTTTTCCTAATAAATTAAATTGAGCTCCGTGATATTTGTTAAAGACCCAAAAAGTACTTTATTCTATATTTTATAATATTGTTTGAGAATTCAAATTTTATTTTTTATTTTTTTTTGTATAAATCAAATTTTATTTTTTAGTTACAACTTTTCGTGCATGTAATGAAAGGTGTTTTTTTTTATTACAAGACATAAATATAACCTCATGAGCTCATTTTAGGTTTTTTTTTTATATATAGTTTTAATGTATTTCGACATTATTTTAGAGTAAAAAAAAATTATATCCGAGAGAAATATTTTACCCTATAATAATTGCATTTTTTTTTTTATTTACATCAGATGACTTTAAAAACAGACTAAGACTACGTCAGTGGATTAAATTTTCTCAAAACAGAAAAATTAAGTTGCTAAGTCTTGTACTAACAAACACAGAGGTAGTACATGAAATTTGAAGATCGTCCTTGATTTGGTTTCTTTTTGTTCTATGTTAATTTCTTGAATAGCAAAGAATCAGACTTTTAAGCAAAAGAAATCTAATGAATTGAATCTGTAATTGGACTTGGATTTACAAAAGTAACTAAAACGATTATTCAACAAGTATTAACACTGAAAAAAGAATTATGCGTCATGAAATTCGTAAGACTATTCCTAGAATATATAAATTTCATCAATTAACCAATCGGATTCAAGCATACAATATCCCTATTAGCATGCAAAAATCTACTGCTCATTCAAGATTGATCAGGTCAGGAACAAGACTATCAATATAAAACAAATTAATTGCATAAATAACACAAGAATAATAATTGCATCAAAGATAAAACATCGTTCAAGAACCCATTGGTCCGTCTCGCCCTAACTACATAAAAAAAACTAGCCTAACATCTTCAAGAAAACAGAATTAAAAGATGAAAAAAAACAATAAAGATCCATAAAAACTTAGCAGGAATAATATACGGTGAGTTCTTGATTTTCTCTTCTTCCTTCTCCTCGTCTCCAGAAGCACTCCTATGCCTCGTCTTCCGAATGAATTTCAATAGGCTTCGTCTCGTTCTATTTAAATACTTAAAACTGGGTCTTTACTTTTGGGTCAGCTCGCTGAAGCGAGATGCTCATGGAGCATATTTCTTCATGAAGCGAGGGAAGAAATATTTTTTATTAATTCTTTATTTTCTTGATTTTTGATTTCTCAACTGATCCCAACTGCCTTTTCCATCATATTAGTGGTTTGTCCCTTCAAGTCTGAAACAACCTGAAACAATAAAAAGGATTAGAATCTTATCTAGTTGTTGGCATTTTTAATATCTTTTAAGATTTTATTAGTTAACACTATATTCTTAATCATATTAATTATTATTTGAACTATATTTGACATTAAAAACATAGTGTCTTTAACACTTATCATTATTCCATCAGATCTTTCGATGAAGATTCAAATTCTTCATTTAGTTATTTCTAACCAAAAGGGTTCAATTAACAAAATTTCACGAGACCCAATTTTCCAATTGCAGAATCATGAAAAAGAATGTCCAAGGACTCTTGAAACTAACAATCGTGTTGATCAAATGCAATAAAAGGGTATAGCAGTATTCTAAAAAGTTAAGGGATTATCCAATCATCTTGAATTCCGGCAACAAGAAATTAGCAAGCCATACTATCAAAAAATGAAACTAAAAGTGCTGAAATTGCATCTACATGCGTTTTACTAAATTTAACAAAAAAAGAAATTAAAGTATTGAGATACAG